AACAGTCCACGTCAAACATGGATGACTCATGCGTGGTGTTGGTTGGGAGAGAGAGGGCAGAGATCGTGAATGAAGAGATGTGTGCGTGTGTGTGGACAGCAAAACAATCTGGACGTCCGGAAACGGATCACAAAATTTGCTACGCCGTGACACAAGCGAACTGAACAGATGATATAGCCGCATGTGTTTCCAGCAGAGACAGCAACCAAGGGCAGTGAATAAATTGGCGCGTTATTTTGAGCTGCAACTCGGTTGATATGGCGATCCGTAATATGGGTCAAACCGTGGAAAGAGAACATGAACATGGGAATAGTTTCAACTGCCCCAATACAAAGTGGTGTGACGCTCCGTTGAAGCGCTTGCTTTCCGAGACCAGAATCATATTCAACTAAACTAAATTTAAAAAAACCTAGGTTGCAATGCAAATATTTGTGATAACCGACAAAGAGCACTAGACAGCTGTTTTGTCCTGTTTGTGACTCGTTAGCAGTGCTTACTTTTTGTGTCCCGGTCAAGACTCAAACCGGTCATCACAAATATTCCCATCGCAATTAAATGCATTCTATCAGTGGAGAATTCAAGATCGCCCACCGAAGAAAATCAAAAGTGTATGGTACCTCTGAACAATCGAACGAGCTAAACCAAACTTGATGGACTAAAAACCTAGACTGTTTCGGAGTGGTGGATGCAAAAGTTGGTGTGCATTGCAGCTTGAGGGGAAATAATGATGTATGAACCATAATCGGTTTACGATTTCTGGTACTGTTTATATTTTTACAAATGAGTAATGAAGAATGTAAATCGATAACCTGATTAATTTCGTCGTGTGCAGAGCAAAGGAAACGTCAGCTAAGAAGCAAGGAAGCATTACCCATTTGTTTTGCATGTCTTGGATCTTATCAGCAATGCAAATTAATTGACCTAACTGACGATTGAACAAGAGGCTCCACAAGTGGAAAACAAACATACTAAGTACTTGACCAAAGGGGCGGTTGATCAAACAGGTTTGTAGGTAAACAAGATGAGACCCGAAACAGCTGTACACTGCTTCTCAGCTTTTCAGTTCACGTTTCTTTTACTCTGACCACGACAGAAATCGGTGTGTATTGTTTAAGTTGCCTCATGTGTTGTTGATAACTGCTCAGAAATGTATGATTTTATTTTATCAATTCAAATTAAACTTCATTGAGCTTTACTTATGTGGAGTTTATTCGGTTCAAGAAGAATTTCTTAACGATGGCGGATTTAGTAAACACTAAGCATCTCCGACCCAGAGTTATCGAACAATAATAACAATAACGGGGGGGGGTTGGGATACAGAACAGTAAAAAAAGACGGAACCGCCAAAAAGCAAAATTACAAATAAATGGCATAACAATTTTTGTGTGTGTTAGTTTATCGTTTTTTATGGGGCACGGGACTTCAACTGGCAAACTGTACAGCATTCGTGCCACTGACTTCTATTCTGGGCTATATCTCTCAGCTTCTCCAGCCAACAACAATCCTCATCCCTTGAGCCCCAACCTAGAAGGCGGGCTGTACCAACCGCAGCCAGCTTCTTCATACCCCTTCACCATGTCATGGTCTGTCAGCCGCGGCGCTTCTTTCAGTCTTTCCCGGCACGTGCGAAGAGAGCACGGAAAGGTAGTCAGTGGGCAGGCACACGCAATACGTGACCAAGCCATCGGAGGCGGTCTAAAGCGATTACTTCTGTTAGAGAACGACTATCCACACCTAACACACGACGACGGACCTCGTCATTGCTCACCCGATGTTCCCACCAGACACGAGCAATGCTTCGGAGACATCGGCAGCCGAATACAGAAGGTCGACTGGTATCATAAAGCGGAAAGGCCAGGTCTCGCNTCTCGCAACCGTAAAGCAAAACGGTCATCAATCAGAACTCTCACCGAAACGATCAAAAATGTGGTCAGTCCAATCGTGTACGTGCAGATCTTGTTATTCAACAATAGCAGTCATAAAACGTGAAATGAAGTCATGAGATGGTGATCTCTGGGTGAAGTTACAACTACCGATTGTGGGCGAGGAAGAGATTAATCGGGAATTTAACAACAAAAGAGCTAATCAACCTGATGAATATCTGCTTCTGGACGTTTCCCTCGACCTTTTCATGCTATCTTTCAATCAAATCAAAGTCCACAATTAACTGTGTTAAGACCCAGGCAAACGAGTCAACCTGATCATTTTGAAGGACTGCTCTACGACGCTGACTGTGATGTTTTCGGGCCTATCCAATCAAAGTAACTAAGAAGGATAATTTGGATTTCCACCACTGAAACGAATACCTATATACCCTAAAAGCTTTTAGAAGCTTCTCCCACGAAAAATGATCAGCATTACACCTGATGATCCGAATCAGTCTGCGTACTAACGCTCTCTTTCCACACTTGATGCCCTTGCCTCTTTTTCTCATTGTACTGGACGCAAAATGTAAACTAATAGTTTGTTTCTCTGATTTTAGCCGTGCTTCTGATGATGCTATGAGGGACAAAGGTTCTGATCCTTGCTAAGGTAAATACTTTATCCTCCATCCTCCACTTCGGANTTCGGACCAAACCATATCATAAAACTTCGGAAATTTACTCGTTTTTGTGATAAATTGCCTTCCAGAAACCACCTCCGTGGTTAAATTATAAGACGTAATACTTTCTTTTTTCTTTGCATTTATTTGCATTACCTGTTTTCCGGATTCCGTAAGGTACGCTCATAATGCCATCCATGGACCAGAGTATTCTGATGATTCTTTTCTTTCGAAAATGCAGGCCAATATCTCCCATCAATTGGTTTACTCTTCTTGGTAATTCAAAGACTTAGGAAATTTTTCTTACACACGCAACACTGATACTGACTGAATAAGCAACCGATTGATTTACGCAGTTATATATTGTTACTGTTTTTCCTTACTGTTGTAAAACCAATATTTAATTGTTCGTAGCATTCATTCATCTTAGGAAAATTGTCACAATATCCGTTTATTTTATCTCAGAGTTTTTTATCCACCGAGCATGCTAATGCAATGCCAGAGAAACCACCCTCCAAGTGGCAATGTTCCTCATCGCTTGCGCACTCAGAGCTGCATTTGACCAATATTTCATACAATAATCCAGACCAGGTGCAGAAAAATCAACTCAGTTTAGAATAAGTAATTGGGCAGATAGGACAGAAAACAAAAGATTGCAAAGCTCACCGTTTCCTCTGTGGTTTGGGGTGTAGTGGTAGTTTTCAACTCCCCATACTTCTGCAGGTGTACACGGCAACCTGAACACAAGAATCGCAGTTGGCCAACCTAATATCAAAGCCCATGTACGGATCAGAGAGACAGAATCAAATTGGGACATTGTAAAGCATGTAGCGCAAACGGGACGGGAGGGAGAAGAGTAGAAAACAAGGAACGTGATGAAAACGGGAAAAATTGGGCAAAACTATTTTACACGAGTGCAATACGAATCGCTAAGGGCCAATGTTTTTGCCCGAGTCGGTGTACAAAAGCAAGGGAATGACAACAAGCAGTATATTGGTGTTTTAGGAAGGAACATATGTAAATTTTTTGACATTATGGTGTTTTAAGATGGATTTACCACGTAAAAGATCATTACAAGGCTAATATTCAACCAGACAGGGATTCATAATGAGCCTTCGGAAGGAACAAATTTAAAATTCCAAACAAAATTTTGAACAACGGATTCGAGATGCGTTGCTTAAGCGATGTTAAAATAACCTTCTGAAGACAAATGAATGGACACTTCTCCCTTATACACACATGGTAGTATTTGAGGATTCCCCGAAAACCCACATTCGAATTCCTTAGGGACATGATAAATATTAAAATCTGACTCTTCCGAGGTTCTAAGTCTGAATAGAACAACTCAGCTGGGCTAGGTAATTAGAGAAAATATTTAGATGATCATCAACCGGTGGTATTTCTAAGGCCTGACAAAAATGCCGACAAATAAAAGTGGTACAATTTACAGCACAAAGGACACGAAGAAGGCTGCACTGTGCTTGGATTGTTTATCATAAAACCGTGTTTCTTTTTCTCTCACACTACGAAATCGTGAATGATCAATCAATATTCGGGTCCGGAAACATCGAGGGCGTACCAGGGAAAGTGCCTTAGTTACAAAATTCAACTAATATTTACGTCACTGGCAGTTTAGAAAGTGTTCAGCAGTGGTAACTTTTGGAATAGGATTCTAAATTTGACGAACCTTGAAAATGATAGCTTTTTTAAACAATTCACGAGACAAAATGGACAGCAGTGTAGATGAGAGACGGGCGAGTAGGAAAAATGGGACGGCACTGTCATGAATGAGGAAACTACAACCGTACGTCTTCGCCAGCGGATGAATGTCATTTTTGAATACTTGTGAAACACTGGTCGGACTTTTCGAGCAAAACGTGCTTCGGAAGCACAAACATCATCATAGTTAGCTTTTGATTTCCATTACGCAGCAGAAAATTCCCGCCAATAGTCATTTTTCCATAAACCAAAAGAAAGAATTACGTAACCCGAAATGACGTCAATAAGGAAACAGATGAAGGCAATAATAACGGTTTACAAACAACAACAACAAAAACCACAAAAACCGGAGAACTAGCCGTGTGAACAGGGAATGTTAGCAGATTAATGGCAAGTGTGCATGATTTGCTAGTACCAGTCAGATAATG